CTTCTCGCCCGGTGCTGCCGGGAGCTGCTGCCCGACCCGTCAGCCCGCACCGCCCGCTGCAAGGTAACCTGCGGTGCTGCTTTTGGCTTGAACGCATCCCCGCCTCGGGAGGGGAGGAGTTAAAATCTTTTTCTTATTATTGCGGGTTTTTTTTCCCCCCTTGCAGATGAAAACAGCTTGTCCTATGTGAGGAATCGTGTTTATTCGCCCAGGCAGGGTCGCAGGAGCGCCCGTTCATGTCTTGCGAGCGCACCGCTGCTTTACAGAGCGGTGGCTGCAGGGCTCCCCGGCTCCGGCTCCGCTCCTCCGCAAGCTCACGCGATTTATCAGCTCTGCTTTCAGGCTTTTATTCCTCCTCCGCCGCACATAATTATACCGCCTCTCCGCCGGGTTCACCCTCTCTTTCCGCTCCCCGGTTTCGGAGCAAACCCCGTCCCCAGCGCTATTTCTGGGGCGGGGGCATCTCCCCCTCGCCGCCGCCATCAAGGCAGAAGCCCAGGTACCCGAGATCCAATTTCACAACAAAAACATCTCAATGTCACCTGCACCAAGAAGGTGGCTTACTGGAGCAAAATGCGAGGCATTTTAAACCCATTAGGCATCTCCCAGATGCAAATCCAATGGTGGAGAGAGAAAGGCTCTATTAAGACCCGAGGGCTGACAATTAGATTATAGTCCAATTGCCAGTGGATAATGTGCTAAAAGCTTTCCCACTTGGTGTAACTCCTCGCTGAAAATTATTCACACTTTGCAGGCTACTGCACTCCTGAACGGGAGACGTCTTTGCCCGCGGAGAGCGCCGACGGCCGGGCGCAGCCCAACACGCAGCCGGACGCCCGGACAGACGGACACCCGGGCGCGCGTCCGTCCCGACCAAAAGCCGCAGAGCAAACCTGCCCCTGGTGCAAGCTTACGAGCGCGCGCACACACGCTACAAACGTGCGAGTATAGATGCGTCCATAGGCGTGTGAAGACCTACCCAAACGTGCGATACGGTATATACACACATCGGCACGTCAGCTGGATACGATTAGACATCCCCCCCCCCCCCCCCATGCGCAGAAAATACACTGTACTTACTTTCCATATAAACCTAAAGTTAATGGAAGCGATGACATTTTTATTTAAAAAAAAATAAAATAAAATCCGAGTTTGGCTACTCCACAGATTTTTTTTTCGGTTTAAAACCGTCACTAAAGCTGACGAAATTTTCACTAAGGGTTTGTACTCCTAACGCTCTGCAGCTATAATTTGAAGCACCACCAAGCAGTGCAAGGCTCCGGACGCGCTCCTTTAATTCAAATATCGCAAAATCTCTTCAGGTTTTAAGATTAGCCACCGAGAAACCTGCAAGGAACGCACGAAACGTTATTTTCCTG